GGTTTTTGTTTTGTTTTGGTTTGGTTTTTTTCCTTTCTCTCTGGGTTTTTAATTTTCAAAGTAAAAATTTTGGAGAGAGGCAGTGACTAAACTTAAACTTTCTTCAAAGTGGTCATTAAGCATAATTTACTTTCTATAAGAAATCTAATACAAAATTCTTAATTAAAGACACACATTAGAAATTAATTATCAGTGGTGTTGTGATGTAGCCTGCAGACAGGAGGCTCAGGGCCATGGGGTTGGAGCTCTTTTTCACCCTCTTACTTCTCTGACTTGGGAACTCAGGCTTCCTGAAGTCATCGTCAGGGAGGTGATGACAGGGCCTAGTGATATTGGCTGGTCTGAAGTTTTTGCTTCCTGAAGTTTGCGTAACATGATTCTTTATCTAAAACAGCCATCCCTAGATTGCTCTTGATGTCCCAAGGAAATGAGACAGAATCATCAAGAGCATAGTGCCTGCCATATGAAGGAATGTGTCTGAAGGGATTTGAAAGGCATAGAACATGAGTAAAGTGATAGGGTTTTTTGTTTTTGTTTTTGTTTTTTGGTACCAGGGATTGAAACCAGGAGCACTTAACCACTGAGCCACATCCTCAGCCCTTTTGTTTGTTTTGTTTTTATTGTGAGACAGGGTCTCTCTCAAGTTGCTGAGTGTCTTGCTAAATTGCTGAGACTGACTTTAAACTTGAGATCTCCTGCCTCAGCCTCCCAAGCTGCCGGGATTACAGGGCTGAGCCACCACACTCAACTTAAGTGATAGCTTTTTGATGGCTATTGCTATTTATTAATAGTAGCCTCAGACCAAGAGTAAGAGGAAGTTAGCTCTGTCCTCGAGATCATACGGAGCACATGATTGCAGCACAGGTACCTGGCACCCTGCATGTGGTGGTCTCCAGGATGCTGTTAACAAGGCATTAGGACTCTTCACCTCCATTGCCTTGGGTACAGAGCTCATGCAACATCCCCAAGTGCTAACATGGGCTAGAAGGCTCACTCACATCATGTAAGAAGATAAATACTTGATTGACACAGGGTTTAAGGGAGCTTAGGGATTTGCAGGCCCTGTGTTGGGATGATATCTGCCAGCCCGTGCCTCTGCTAGAGAGGGCAGTATTGGGTGCATCACACAGGAGAGTGGCTGATTTCTGCCCTGTTCAAGACCACTCTGTGGATGGAGGGAAGTTTAGATGAGGAGGAGGAAAAGAGGAGTCTCATGTCTGGTTTCTTACAGGTTTTAGCAACGTGCCCATTGAACTGAAGAAGTGCGCACAAGCAGACCAATGCACAGAGACGATAACTACTTATATGGGTTTTCCAGTTTCTAACGAGAGTAAGAGTTGCAGGTCACCCTTCGGAACAGGGACCAGAGTCAGAACCACACCTCCCATCTTCTTTGTGCTCTTCCTGGGGAAGCTGCTTCACTGAGCTCCTGTGAGGGCCCAGCCGCCTCCATTTGTGGATTAAACTTGCACTGCTTGTTCCTGTGCCCTTCCTTGACTGCCCCTTCCTCTGTGGGTATTTCCAATTGTCTGTTTACTTGTTCGGCAAGGTTCACATGCTGTGTACCCAGCCACACTCAAAGTGGACCAGGCCATGTCAGGTCCTGACCCTCGAGGTTTCTGAGCATTTGGAGAACAGGAAGTGTGGCTGGGCAGAGCTCAGAAACCAGTGTCGGGAGCAGCTGTAGGGACTGGTTTGCACATGGGGTAGAGGTGGTGGAGGGTGGATTGGATCAGGGAGGTGAGGTTTAGATGAACTTTGAGGAGATCTGTGCAGTATGCTGCAATGGTTGGGACACACAGATGGGGAACTGGCAGAGGCTCTGGTGGCCTGGTGTGGTCCACAGGAGGGGGCGTGGGGGAAGAGCCTGAGTAACCATGGCCACACAGGGGCCAGCCTTCTGTAAGAGGCCAAGGTGCTGCCCGTAGTGGACACACTGTGCCCTGGCACTGCATGGGGTGGTCCGCACAGGGTGGTCCACACAGGCCTCTGGTGCCCCACCTCGCACACTCTCAGGAACATGCAGGGGCACCTGCCCCAAGAACAGAGTCCTCCTCCCATGTCTGTGCCTCAGGCCCATGGCCCCTTCTCAAGGGCACTTCACTAGGCACCAGTGCTGCCAGCACCATGAGCCAGCCAGGAAGCGGAGAGAAGCAGAGCCCAAGCTGCCACCTGCTTGTCACTGAGGATGGCCCAGGGGTCCCCTGAGCACACACCTGCCTCAGCCCGGAGCTGCACAGAAGGCCCTCACTGGTGCCAGAGCACAGCACAGAAGATTGAGAGGTGGACACAGGAAAGGGCCAGGTCAGTGGTGAGCAGTGGCCACAGAGGGAGGATCCCAAACACGGCTTCCCCTGCTCTTGCCTTGGCTGGTACCTGCGCTTGTGCCCCACCCATGGCTCCATCTGTGTGCTTGTGCCTTCTGTACCCTGTTGTGCCCAGTGTTATTTCTTATACTCTTGGATGCATTTGCTTCTCTTTGTGCCCCTTGTCTGCCTTTGGCAGAGCAAAGAAACCAGGGACAACTGAAGTAAATGTTTCAGTTTTATTTTCTGTTTAGCCTACCCCATTTTTAAAATTTCTTTGATGGATCAAAACTCTTTCCCTAATTTAAAAATAGATAAGTCTAATATTTGCATTTGCACTGAAATCATTTTTATAAAACTAAGTTAATTTGCTTTTAGCCACTGTGCCCATGATAGAATATCCCCCTACTTCCTAGGGCAGCTCCTCTGAATGGAACAATATGGGTCAAATAATGAGATTTCTTTTTTAATTGTAAACAAACTAATTCCTTGTCCTGCAGCTCACCTTCAGAGGTGGCCAAGGCTTTCCTGGGTCATAACACAACCTTCCTGCTGCTGGCAGCTCCTGAGGCCCAAGGTCTCATGAGAATCACCAGACACACATGTGCCCTGGCCGCCAGCTCCTGGACACCTTTCCCCCCACACTCAGCAGACGCTTCCTCACCTGTGATGGAAGTCCATGAATCGCGTGTCCCTGGCCAGCCTAGGTGGCTCTGGCTCAGAAGGTGTGAGGCAGGAGGCCAGATATAGCTCACATGACCTTGGTTACTTCAGCTGTCTGCTGGCCTCTCTGCAGGGCAGGGGGATGGAGCTGACTGTGTCACCCCGGGAGTCCCTGCTGCCACTCTCAAGTCATGTGGAGAAGAGAGGAGACCTGGTGCTAGCCTGGCACTGCCCGCATCTGTGCCAACTCACGGCTTCCAGGGCACGTTCTCAGAAAGTCTCACCTGGCAACCTGTGGTACTGAGGAGAAGCTGCCAGAGGCCTACCTGGGGCACAAGGAGGAGGGGCCAGCATGCTAGGGACAGTCTTCTGTTTGCTGTCTAGGCTTTGTGTCCCTGCAGCTTAGCTTCAGATGGCCCCACAGCCCCATACTGAGGGTGTGCCCTCCTCTCAGCACAGATGAGATCTTTCCTGGGACCTTAGATGCCACTGTGCCCTCTACTCCAGATAAAGACCCTCCTCAGGGAGAAGGGCCACCCTCCTGTCAGCCCAGAGCAGTTCTGGGGCCCACTCCCCATTCTAGCCACTGACACAGATTCTCTCCCTGATCAAATGCTACCCAGCTCCCCCACCTCCCTTCTAACTAGGACCTAACTCTTGCCCATCTGTGCTTGTTACCGCCTGGCACTGCCCCAAATGGCTTGGTTTTACCAAGAATCCTGAGAAGTCAGGTCAAGCAGGCACACAGACCCTCTCTATCTCCTCAGACTATCCTCAGATGACCTCTGACCCTGTTGGCCCTTCTTCAGCAAGAAGCTTGTTAGGCTGGTGAGCCAGGATCCAGTGACGCCCACCAGCTCTGTGGCTATATACCCCACCTGCCATGCTCTATTTGGAGCAGTCTCAGTCTCCTCATGGCAAAACTGTTACCTAAACCTCGGTCCTTGTCCCCAATGCCAATTCAGTAATGGCCACATGGTTTTGGGAAAAGAGAAACAAAGTTTCATTGCTTTGCTAGCAAAGGAGGAGCACGGGGCTCCTGTCCCACAGAGTGATTTTGCCCATCAGCAGGAACAGAGGGAGGGCATTTATAGAGGTGATGTGAAGGTTGCATTCCACCTATTTTCTCTCTGGAGTTGAATGCACTTGTTAATTTGGGAGATAGTCATTTCTGAGAGCTTCTATTGCCATGTCCAAAGCAGATTGCCTCCTTCCTGTGGTAAGAATGTGTTTAAGGACAGATACTCTGCCTAGGATGGCAAAGAAAGATCATCATATTCCCCACACACACACCACTGCAAATTAGGGAGTAGAGAAGATGGAGGGGGAGGGAGAGAGGAAGAGAAAGAAAAATGTCTTTTAAAAATGAGTAACAGTGGCAGAGCAGCAGGACTGTATTACTAAGGTAGACACTGTCGCGGTGCAACCGAACACTCAGTCCTTTTCCCTGATGCCAATCCAATCACGAGGACATGGTTTTGTGGGAAAAGAAAAAGGAAGATTTCTTAAGCTTTACTAGCAAAGGAGAAGCACAGAGGCTCCTGTCCCTGAGGCTCTGATTCTGCCCATCAGGAGGAAAGAGGTGGGGCCAGGGTTAAAGAGGTGAGTCAAAGGCTACATTCCACAAGTTTTCTCTCTGGAGTTGAATTCACTTGTTAATTTGGGAGATTGTCATTTCTGAGGCCCTCTGGTACCAACCCCAAAGTCTGGACTCCTTCCTTCCTATGGTGGGTGAGCACTCAAGGACAGATAAATTTACCTAAAATAGGGGAGAAAGATAATCCTGTTTCCCCTGAGATGAGGGAGGTGGAGAGATTAAGGAGGAGCAGGGAGAGAGGAAGAGAAAGAAACATGTCCATTTAAAAAATCAGTTGCAGGAGGGCAGGAAGGTTGTAGTTCAGCACACTGCGGAGGTTCTGCCTGTCTGTCTCTAGGTGGTGTGTTCCACCTTGACAGCTGCCACCCGCAGCAAGGCCTCCCCAGTGCTCAGGCATCCCCAGTGCTCAGGCATCCCGGGGGAATGTGAAGTGCTAATCCATTGCCTCTGAATATAATTGAAACAGAAAACAGGAAGATGGCAGCAAATCCTTCAGAACAAGGTTTTCAAAACAAAAATAGAGTTGCAATCTTGGCAGAACTGGACAAAGAGAAATGAAAATTACTTATGTAGAACCCGTCTTCAGCAAATAATCCTGGAGCTAGCATTGCACTCTCCAGACCAGCTCTTAATAAGGACTTCCAGGGACATGCAGAACAGCAGCATATTGCAGCCCAGCAGAAGGCAGCTTTGCAGCATGCTCATGCACATTCATCTGGATACTTCATAACTCAAGACTTTGCATTTGGAAATCTTTTTCTTCCTGTTTTACCTCGCCTTGACCCAGAATGAAGAAAACATCTGTAATGAAAATTACTTTGTAATACCCAATGCCAGAGCTCCTCTCACTCAGGGCTGTACATGTTATGCTCAAGTTCGGGACCCCCAAAAGACTACCAGAGACCAAGATCGATGTAAGCAGCAAATAGGTGTTTATTGTGAGCTAGCTCAGTCCTCCACGCACACACAGCAACTGGTGACACTGAGAGGCTCTGAGTCCAGGGTTTGCAGCAGTTTTATACACTCTTTGGGGAAGGCAGGGACTTCATATACATCATAGTATCTCTTAGCAAATAATCACACACCACGGGAAAATCATAAAATAACTCTAAAACATGATTAGCACATTCACTGGCAGGAACAGGTTGGGTAGGGGTGATTGGTTAGTACAAGAGGGGGTGTGGGAGGCCATCCTCACACGTGATTTGAGTTACCTCCCTGGCTGGGTGAGAGGCGCTTAGACACAGCTGTGTTAGAGCTTTCCCCACCCTTTCCCAGGTCCGAGAGCTTGTCCATGCAGAGACGTGTCTGGCCACTGCCCCGAAGACCCAGTCATCGCCCCTGATCTTGGGATGCTACCCCCTTTAACCTTCATTGGATGGGATTTTCCCTGGAATTTTTTGTTCCCCAATAAAAGCCCACTCCCTGGCATGTTTTCTCTCTCTCTCTCTCTCTCTCTCTCTCTCTCTCTCTCTCTCTCTCTCTCTCTCTCTCTCTCTCCTCTCTTCTGTAAACCTCATACCGCATTAGGTGGCTGGAGGCGGGAGCTAGGAGAAGCCTTCCTGGAGCTGGTTTTAAAGGTAATAAGAGTCTTGTCTCTTTAATTTAAAACTCCCTAGCATTTACTCATGAATCAAACCTTCTTTCATAAAGCCAGCACTGGTCGCATAGCAGAAGGGGGATTCATTTGAACTGATTGATTTAGGCCACGAGGGGAGTACATGCTGAACTACATGGTTTCCCAACATGTTATCAACCACCATAAACTACTGGGAGGTCATCTGGCATCCTAGGTATTTCCCAGTCTCATGCTGATTGGTGGCTGCTAGGGGGTTGCTGTGGGTCCCCACCTAGCCTGACTGAGTCAGGGACACCTGGTGCAGCATATCTCTCCTGTTATTTGCAGACAAACAACTCAGCAGGGTGGGTATGTGCCTAGGAGTGCTCTGTGGGTCTTTCCAAAGACAAGAGGCACTCCCCCTTCCTTGGACAGGCTTTGCTCTGAGGTAGAGGCTGGTTTCTCATACACACTGTGACATTCAGAATTCTGGTGAACTTACATATATTTTTTTTCCTTCTTGAAAAGAAAGGAATATGTAAGTAAAAGCAAATGGGGGGGGGGACTAGGATGATGAAAGCTTTAGAAGCTGGGTTGTCTGAAAATTTGATTATGCTGCTTAGTGACTTTATCTTTTTTGTAATGCCATTTGATTTTTAGCTCTCAATCGGACTCTGAACTGGATAGTCATGTAAAATCAGCCCCTAACAACTGAGTACGTTGTATCCACAATAGCCTTATTTGAACCATTTGTAGTATTTAACTTGAAATAAATGAAGATGCTTTTGAAAAATGTGAATGCATAGGATGAAATAAATTAGGTTTATATTTGTAGTCCACAGGATTGATGTAGTATAAAGCTGTCAAGTTAATAGTCATCGTTATCATCCAGAAGTACTCTTTGTAAATGTATAAATATTCTCATATTATTTTAAAAGAAAACCCAAGATAAAACTAAATTACCAACCAGTCTTAAGCATCTTTTATAAACATTCCATTATAAATGATGTGACAGTGCTATTCAAAGTAATTATAAAGAATGTGGTGGCTTGCATATTTATTTGTACATGGTGTTATTTAGCATTACTACACAAATGGTATGTATATGGTTTCATTGTTCATTTTACCTAATTAAAAATTTAAAATTAAAAAAAAAATTAGTTTCAGTGGCCGAGCAGCAAGGGTTATATTCTAAGCATAAAGTGGACACTGCTACAATTCCCCACTGTCAATTCCTACATTACGTTTCTATGGAAAAATGAGTGAGGACATCTTCAAACTGCTTCCTGATGAAAGGGGGGACGTTGGGGGAAGTAACCCAAGTCCTTGTTGTAAGTCCTTGTTGTCAGTGACCAAAAGGAGGCAGATTAAAAGGCTGCTGAATGAGGCTTTATTGAGATTCACTCCTGGGAGAGACCCTCCAGTCCAACAGAGTGGGTCTGGGGAATTGCGCATGGACTCAGCCGTATTGGAGTTTTTATTGGGCTTAGGGCAGAAAGGGAGGGCTTGGGACAGGAAAGGGAAGATTTTAGAGTCCCTTATCTTACTAGGGTTGGTCAGGGGAGCTTGCTGAGGTCCACGATTGGTCAGGAGACCCTGCTGATTGACAGGTGGTTATGTTGGTGCCTGATTGGTGGTTCTTTCACACACACGCATGTTGCCTTATGATTTGTTCCCTTAGCCACCTTAAACCAACCTAACATCCCAGCCTTTCTGATGACATAGGGCATCAAATTCCATCTGGTTATTTCCTGCTGGCTAGAGGCAAAGAATCTCATTCCCATAAAAGTGTCAGAGAGGGTTTTAGGTGGAGGCAGAGTCTCTGGAGTCTAAGGAGTTGGTCATGAGTCCTAGGTCTCCATCTTGGGCATCAGGGGCTGGTGGTCATGAAAAAGTAGTTGATTTACTGACTGGTTGGTGAATTTGTGTATCTGATCTTGCAGGAACTTCTTTAGGCAATTTAATAGACATGGTCCTATTAGGAGAAATATAAAGAGGACTAATAGAGGTCCTGCCAGAGGGAGAAGCCAAGGCCATACTTGACTGAACATTCCCCATGGAGCCTGTTGGCCTAATTGCTGTCTCCTCTTTTCTAGCTGTTCTTGTCCTTCATTACTCTCGGGAATGACTGTGTTTTGGTTTGACTGTTTTTGTTAGGTGTTTAAGATCAAGCTAGTCAAAATTGACTTTGTTTCTATCTATTGTTAAGAGTCAGCTGAGTTCCCATAGGGGTCGCTCGTGGGGGAACTTGAGAGCAGCTTCTTAGTTCTGCTAGTGCCATTTGTGCTAGGATGGGTCCAGGTCTTGCTTGATCATGTGGCTTCCCTTGGAAGCAACTGGGATGTCTCCTTTCTCCAATGATCCTCCTATTCACAGCAAGTGCACTGATTGGCTTTTCACTATCCAGTGGTCTCATTAGCCCCCCTTAATGGGAGATTATGTGGCCCAGAGTTGCAAAGCTCTTTAGAGAAGTTCCCTGTTCTCTGGATTCAGACTGACACAGAGGGCCAGAGCCAAATATTGGGGTTTGGGGCCCTTTTAATATAGCTTTAATTTTAAGTCTTGATCTTAAACATCTAGCAAGTCAGTCTCACCAGTCTTAAATTAAGAGTACTGGGCTTTAACTGAAATCTGGTCTACTTGGGAGTCATTTTAACATGTAGTAAAATGGAAAGCAGAGCCTTATCTCAGATAAGGTGGGGGTCTTTCAAACCTTCTACCTTAAAGACTTGTATACCTGTTGGGACTTCAAATTCTTATTAACCTTGTTTTCAGTGATGAGAAAGCAATTTTAAAGGCCATTTTCACCAGATCTCGAATAGGGGTCTGAGGCCCCCTCCTCAGCTCATTTGAGATTTTTTTCAAATATCATGGGCTGATTGAGTAGCGAAATGGGTTGCTAACACCATAGCCCCAGAGGGAGATTCAGTATCCAGCTTATTATATTTGATGAGAGCCTCTGTAAGGCAACTGAAAAATAAGGCTGGATTCTCATCTGGATCCTGGGTGATTTCTCTCAGCTTATCAAAGTTAACCACTTTATTGGAAACCGCCTACATGCCTGCTATCAGATATTGGACCATGCGAGCACAGTGACGGTGACCTTGTTGGCCATCTTGATAGTTCCAGTTGGGTTCAGTTAGGGGAACGGCTGCTTCACCTGTGGGGAGAGTCATATCTGTTAGACTAATTTGATCAGCATGATCTTATGTGGCCTGCTGGATTCAGGCTCCCTCATCCAAGATAAGGGTGGAGGAGAGAATGACATAGACATCATGCCAGGTAGGTTCATAAGTCTAAGAGAGGTATTGGAATTCCTTAATGTAAGTGGAGAAGGACCCAGGGCATTTTTCAATCTGGGAAAAATCTTAAAGTGAGAATTCGGTGCCAGCCACTTCCCTGAGAGGACAAAAGAGCTTTGAGTTACCTGGTAAGAGGGCCAGCTGGGACCAGGTGTGGGCACTGAAAGGAGAAGAGAGAAGGGAGTGGGTTGAAAGATCCATTGAGGGGTGAGGGGAAGGGTTGTATCAGTAGAAGAGGTGGGTGAAGGAGTCAGGGCTTCAGGAGAAGAGGAGGGAGAGGAGGGAAGAAGGATGGAGGGGGAAGGTCCTGGAGTGGGGAAGGAGGAGCTATGGTAGCATGAGGAGGGGGAGGGGAGGGTGCTGGTGTTGGAGGAGAGGAGGGAGAGGATTGGTCTAGGTAGGGAGGGGTAAGACAGGAAGGTGGGGCTGAGAGCAGCTCAGATGGATATAAGAATGAGGAAAGAGGTGTGGGAGAACAATGGGAAAGGGGTTAGGGATTTTCCCTAGCCAGGAAGACTTGAGCGGTAGAACAGGTAGATTAGACAGTGGGACAGCAGCAAATATCCAAAAAAGCCTGAACATAAGGGACTTGTGCCCACTTCCCTGTCTGGTGCCAAAAATTGTCCAAATCAGGATTTGAAAATCAAAAGTTCCTTCTATGGGCCATTGTGACTCATTGGCCACAGTGGAGTAAAAGACCAGGCAGTTAAGGTGTAGGTCTTTAGTGAAAATTTGAATATAGACAACTTAAGGGAGTTTGGGGGTCTATGGAGGATTTGGTGTTTCCCATGACCTTCCTGCACCCTCTGGCGTGGGTGGGAGCAGAAAATGACATCCCAAATTCTGATCACACTCACCCAATGGGTAAGGGCTGGGTGGGGCTTGAGGTGACCCTACAACCCAGTGGGGGCCCAAATGAAAGGGAAAAGCTCACACAAGGACTGGAACATCTCCACAGTTCCTGTGGCCTTGAGCAG